GGAAACAATCTGTCATGAGTGTGCATCATCCCCGGAAACAATCTGTCATGAGTGTACATCATACCCGGAAACAATCTGTCATGAGTGTGCATCAGACCCGGAAACAGTCTGTCATCAGCGTGCATCATCCCCGGAAACAATCTGTCATGAGTGTGCATCATACCAGGAACAATCTGTCATGAGTGTGCATCATACCCGGAAACAATCTTCCATGAGTGTGCATCATACCTGGAAACAGTCTGTCATGAGTGTGCATCATACCCGGAACAATCTGTCATGAGTGTGCATTTTACCCGGGAAAACAGTCTGGCATGAGTGTGGATCATACCCGGAACAATGTTTCATGAGCGTGCATTATACCCGGAAACAATCTGTCATGAGTGTGCATCAGATCCGGAAACAATCTGTCATGAGTGTGCATCATACCAGGAACAATCTGTCATGAGTGTGCATCATATCAGGAACAATCTGTGTATCTGTCATGGAGAGAGACATGAGATAAACGTGCATCTGTCAGGGAGAGAGACATGAGATGAACGTGCATCTGTCAGGGAGAGAGACATAAAAGTACAACCTTTGGAGTCAAAGACATGAGATAAACGTACAACTCCAGGTGACAGAGACAAGAAATAAACGTATAGCAGAGGTTCATTGAGACGAGAGAATAACCTACATCTTAATCTCATGGGCAAATGATTCCTAGTCATTGGGGATGAGGACAGGGGGGTGGGGATGGGGGAGATGGTTGACATCCCTCCTATGACTCACATGTATAATGATATCTTGTGTTCTACTTCACAATAACATGGCGGAACATGCCATAAAATACTTCAGGTGTCCATATATTTGTTGGCAGAAATACCTGAAGCCATAAAAATGCGATATGGCACAGTGAAATTCATTCCCCTTCAGAATCCGCGTGGTAATTAAGCAACACATAAACATAGATATCACTATGGCAAGCATGGGTGCTACATTGTGGACACCGCCAATGTTAAACTGACGCCCATTAGAAACTTTGCCGCTTTCAAAATGAAATTGCAAACATTTAATAACACGAGTTCAAGCTTAATCAACCCAACTGAAAACACAACAATAAAATTCAGTGCAGAAAGTGATACATGTCAACGGAACGTTTTTTGTTTTTTTCTTGTTTTTGTTTTTTTTGTTGTTGCTGTTTTTGTTGGCATTGTTGGGGGTTGGGTTTTTATGGGGGTTGTTCTTTGTTTGTTTGTGATGTTTTTTGTCTTGTTGGATTTCTTTTGTTGTTGTCTGTAGAAAACGCAAAAAAAAGTTTTTAAAAAACACGTGCAGTCAGATAAGGACGTGGTGTGAGACACTTACACTGATAAATATAACACTACTGAAATGACACGACTGACAGCAGAACGAGGCCCGAGAATGATAAAGTTTGGAACCATTTAGTAGAACATTAGTAGAACTTTTGGTTGCTTCTGGTATTACTGGCACTAAGCTGACAGAACAGAACAGAACTGTTAATACTTTTCAGGCCGTAAGACAACGGCATGTGAAGATCACAATGATTATATACATTTCGGTGACAGGCTGGTAGTCTGAATATAAGACATATAACATACACATAATAAATAGTAGTACATAGTACTTTCTTTTACACATAGTGCTTACAACTAAATTTTCACATAAATTTTACAGAAAAAAAGTGACTTTATAATTCACTTTCCCTATGACTTGTACCTGAACATGACAGTCTTACAAAAAATACAGAGTAACGCAACGTTACGAAAGCTACAGGCAGACATCAGACAAGCAAAACCCAGTCAAATGATTGCCGGTACTTGCATCTTCTGCATCTCCCGAATCGGAGTTCTGGCTCTCTCTCGCCAACGAAACCACAGACAGGTTACGTAACTCTGTCGCCAGAGCACTGCAGTGACGTCATATGAGGAACGATTTTCAGTTAGTTGTATAGAAAGTGTGTAGCAAACTCGTCATTTTGATGATTTCTCGACATCAACGAAGACATGCCGAATCGTTGCGTTGTCGTCAATTGCTCCTGGGGGTCGGGCAATGGTGTCACCATGCACAGATTTCCACAGGACCCCGCAGTTCGTGCTAAATGGGTTATCTTTGTGAGTGCGAAGCGAACGTTATGGAAGCCTAAAACGATATCTTACTTGTGTTCAGATCGCTTCACGGAAGTTAAAAAATCAAAACTACTTACTAGTTGTAGTAAAATATGTATGTGATTGATGGCCAAAAAGATTTTCCATGACACAACTTGTAACATAACGATTTCTTCCTCGGAAGCGAGGTTGTGGTCGAAGTAACAATAATACTGTAAGTATATAGTATTATATTGACACCCACCTCGCTTCCACGAGAGAAATTGTTATGTTATTAGCTATGTCATGCAAAATCCTATTGACCATCAATCAAATACATATTTTATTACCAGTAGAAAGTAGTTTTGATTTTGTAACTCGGTGAAAACAAACCTAAATAGCATCTATCCTCAGACTGGCGGATGTTCGCGACAGTGCGCCGCCATTTTTGAAAATCGTAAAGTCACGGGCTAAAGTCTGTTAGAATAAATGAGATTATGGTTTCTTTTCATCAAGTTAGAAAATCAGAACTACTTTCTACTCGTAGTCAAATATGTATTTGAATCAACTTATAACATAACGATTTCTTCCACGGAAGCGAGGTGGGGGTCGAAGTGACAAATACTGCGCGATAAATTTCTTGCTACATTCACGTGGTTAACGACCACTCGCCAGTATGTAGATACTAGTCAATGTACGTCTTTATATTTGGTCATATAATCCTAATTAGTTTATGATCATAGTTGTATGCATTTGGAAAATTGACTTGCCTTTTCATGTGTTTGTTACTGCTTGCCACTACCTTTGACATATATTCACGTTTTGGGCATCTGACCCCCCGTGAAGATCCGGGTTAGAATTCATCTTCAGTAACCCATGCTTGTCTTAAGAGGCGACTAACGGGATCGAGTGGTCAGGCTCGCTGACTTTGCTGACACATGGCATCGGTTCTCAATTGTGCAGATCTATGCTCATGCTGTTGATCACTGGATTGTCTCGTCCAGAATTGATTATTTACAGACAGACGCCATATAGCTGGAATATTGCTGAGTGCGGCGTCAAACTAAACTCACTCACTCACTCGCTTCTGTTCCTGCAGAGAATTCTCATTATTCTCATTATTTGGAAAGGTTTTCTATTTCACCCAATGCAATGAGCTGCATCACGTCGTTTTTTCTCACTTCACACAAATAATTACATTACTGAGATTTACAAAGCAGGATTACACTGAACTTACTGATGTAAGTAGACAGATGTTCGTTGATGGCTACCAACTATAACATGCAATGGTGTATTAAGTCATCGAAACAAATACTTTCGTCAGAGCCCTACTTTCAAATAGACTTCAACAATTCAGTTTTTTCGTTTTCTCGGTTAGTAGAAACCACTCAGACAACCATTGTGGTTTTATTTGGACACAGGATGTTTTAACTGACCCTCAAGGTAAGGAAACACATATCATTCAGCTTCCATGGTCTTCGTGTCTGGTTTTCCTATACATCGCTACACTCGTGCGAGATTAATGAGAAAATATCCATTTTATTCATGTCCAAAAGTAACTTAATGCCCACATTTGTCTCTTTTAATTGTAAATATTGCTTCTACAGTTTCCTATTACGTATTTTTATAATGCGTGTAAACACAAACTAGATTATATTACACCAACGACATAAAAATCTTAAATCAATTAGTAAATGAACTATATAAGTTCTTAAACACTTAGATTTGTAAATATACTTTTACCGGTATTGAGGGTTAACGAAATAGATCACCTTGTGACGTTAAGGACGTGGATCACCTGGGCCCCGTTCTTCAAAGCGATCGTAACCCTAAGGTGATCGTAACTCCCATACTTTAACATAGGATAACAGCAGTCGTAGCACTACGATCGGTTTGAGGAACGGAACGGGGCCCTGGTTTGTTCTGGGAGATGGTACATTGTCTTTTGTAGGGATGTCTATTGGCAAATAAATTGTATTGCAATATATTGCGACTCAGGAACCCGTATTGCGATACGCATTGCGATATATTGGGGAACTTTGTGTTTGACAGTGAGTGACACTAATTGTGCATGTCAATCGTATTTTTTTATATTATAAATCCCTAAACATGTATGTTATGGTTCTGATAACAGCAATCTCAAAAGCAGGTTGTATAGTCAGGGAATCCATTTTCATTTTTATACAATTTATAGCATGATATTATGCCGTTTTGTCATTGAATTACTAAGAAAAACATTTGTTGTGAATGAAAGTCTGCGCAGATTTTAATCTAAGCTTTGTATGTTCTTTACCCAATATACCAGTTTTCAGATATTGCAATACGTATCGTTTGAAAAGCGTATTGCTATATACCGGTGTACCTAGGACCGGCAGTCCTAGTCTGTTGTAATATAGCGCTCGGGCTCTGTCACCTTGGATTAAGCCCACACCGACACAGTAGTTTATACAGTTGTACCCAACACAAGTGCTCTAACAAAGAGATGTCTTTAATATGGATGAAGACAATCCTATACGGTTACACAATGAACAATTATTGCCAACGTTAATTGCAGGTGGCTGGCAAATTGTTGCTTAATTGACGTCAAACACGTTCACGTGATCGCAGAGATCCAACTAATGCTTCAAGGTGAACATGGATATCGACTGAGCCTGTCGCTAAAGACACGTCACTTAGTGCAAATACTCGACCAGGGCGTCATCTGTCATTGGGGACTTCTTGACAGTGTATCGAGTCAATATTTCTTGGCGTATCTTCGAGCGTGCTTCCAGGGACTATGTTAACGCACCATGCATTCTAGACGGTGCCAACCAATCACGTTTGTCAATAGATAACGGTAGGTGAATTCTGATTGGACAGTCTGAGTGTTTCTGATAATAATCACCCCCGCATGTGCTCTACGTGCAAGGCTTCACGCGTATCAAGGGGGGTGTTTTAGGGATATAAAGTCTCATCCTCTGATATTCTTCCATTGCAAGAAGAACCGGCTTTGGTGCTAGCTGCATTAAGGAAGAGAAACACAGGTATGTCCGAGTTTCGTTTTGTCTTTCATTCTCAGAACTCCACAAGTAGGTCCGTCACCGCTTCATATAATGTGTTTCATCATTTTGTGATATTTGAAAATAATGATTATGTCACAATAGAATTTATGTAATCAATAGAAACATTTCATAATTATATTTTATATTTTGAGATTGTTTTTATGTTCGATAGATCAGTTCCATCACGGATAAAAAATATAATCTAGATTTTTTGTTCATGTTTCCATTATATTTTATTCCGGTGATATTTGTTAATATTTTTGCTTATTGTGCAAGTTCATGATGATGATGTCAAGACGTATCCTGAATATGACACATCTTGCTTGACGTCTTTGCGTTTACCTTTTATGGTGTTAACCTTTCCTTGATTGAATTATTTATCAAGCTCACTAATACCTGTCATATTTTACTAAACAAACAGAACATGCACTGGAGGTAGAAAGGTGAAATTGTTGGATTACAGTCATATGCAGTTTTATATTTTTTCTCATTAAGGTGGTACAAATCCAATGCGGTTCAAAGCTGGAACCTCTCAATATAGTTTAAAATATTATATGTTATATCCTAGTATATGTAATTTTATTTTCACAAATGCTTTCGAATGTTTTACTGAGTTTTATATGTTGTGCTATGGTAATGTGAAGCCATGTTTCAGTGCGTGACACCCCGAGTCACAGTGTAAACCTGCGTGACCTGGCTTAATACAAAAATATCAAACGTAACGCGACATCAGCTTGTGTGTGACATGTAAGACAGATGAGGGATATTTAGCATCTTTCCTCTTCAAATTAGTTTGTACTGGATATACAATGATCTGACTCTGGCTGTCCAAGGTATGAGGTGAATGGGTCCATTTCATTTCTATCTGTGTATTGTGCGTGACACTGTCCACATGCTTCGACTCGAGAAAATGAGAAAGGCGAATACGTTTTCAATCTAACCGAGAGTCACTTTGATAGGAATTAACAGTTTATTCATCTCTGCTTTATCATGTATGAACAGTTAAGCAACAAAAGAGATTCTGAATCTACAGCTTAAACTTTCACCAGTTTTAAGTTTGTTCACCATATTTCATTTCGCAAACACCTGGCATCGTCACTATTTATTAGTGATTCATAAACACATGCTCATGATATAGTCGGAATCGTACAGTGGACTCAGAGAAGTTAATGAATTTGGAAAGGGTTTTGCCGCTTTTATAAAGAGTGGACAATTACTCGCAACTGATTGTACCTTCAGCCTAGGAAATGTCAACTAACAGCGGCGAATACAACAGTACATTGTATTGATTTTAAAGCGATTCTTGTTATCTTCATACCGGAGCGATGAAGCGGGTTTATATCGTACGCCGCAATCAACAGTGTTGGTCATATCACACAGTCACTTGTGTTTATCACAATTCAGACTTAGACCACGAGCTGGGTGCTCACAGACCACAGATCTTAACTAGATCAAGAATTTGATTCGAACGCACGAAATGTGGACCTTTTGCTCTTTGACCTGTGTTTCCAAACATTCCCATTATTTAACTAAAGTGACATTTGGGATACCACTTTCTCAGTAAGGTACAGGGTCCAGATCCACAAAGTGTTCGTAACGTTACGATCTATCGTAACCATATACTACATCATTTTTCGAATGACGTAATGCTACGAACGCTTTGTGGATCGGGCCCCAGATATGGTACAGTTGACCACCTTGTAAATGCCATCGTGTTCCCTCATTATAGTGGAGTCTGCTGTCGGTAGAGACTTCTTGGTGCTATGGAATTGGTCCTGTCGCTTTTATTTTCTGGTAGAGGAAAATACCTAATGTGCTTTTATCACGGTACATGTCACAAGCCTCTAGTTTTAATAATGAACTACTTCCTTACCATACAGTACAGTGGACATACCGCAGTAGCAGGCTAGAGGACCGTTCATAATTTATTGCTGGGGGGATGAAGATGATTTGAAGGAGGGGTCAGCCATTTTGTTCTGAGGAGGTTGGGGGGAGTCATCAAGTTTGTACATAGAAATATTCATAGAAATCATCAGAGAGAAGAAGAGAGAGAGAGACATACAGAAAGAGACATACAGAGAGAGAGAGAGAGAGAGAGAGAGAGACAGAGAGAGAGAGAGAGAGAGAGAGAGAGACAGAGAGAGAGACAGGAGACAGAGAGAGAGAGAGAGAGAGAGAGAGAGAGAGGGAGACAGAGAGACAGAGAAACATTATTAACTGTCCCTAGCTAATAGTCTGATCAAATACATAAGTATCGTGATTAACCACTCCGCTGTTATATGAATAGCCAACAAAATGTGTAGGTGTATCAAGGTCCTATATATATATTTAATTACCCAGTTTAAAGTCAAAGGCATAGCTTAAAGTCAACAGCATTAGAGTCGAACACGTAAGTATCAATATCCTAATGTTTTACCATGGTAACGGAAGCATAGTAGATCAACACTGCGTTGTTTCTCCAAACGTATAGCAATGTGTCATTATTGGTATTCCAAGCAGAATTCATAATTGCATTCTCTGACTAGCCCGCATAAGCTTATATATATATTATTTACAACCAAGGCATCCTTGAAATTAGATATAAACACTACTGTTGATGCTATTGCCCAGATGTCCTCACTGGAATGAATATTAACACTAAAGGTCAAAATATCAACAGTAGACACGTGGAGGAAATGACAAAAATGGTCTATTTTGACTCGTACCATACGTTCCCGATTTGTTTGAGGTGAACATTTGACAAGCCTTTGCATGTGTTTATGACCACCGGCGTGTCAGAATACGATCACCTTTTCATGAACACCTGGTATCATAATTATATTGATACTGATTGATGAACACATGCCCATGATACAGTCGGAATTGTATAATCGATACTGCTTTTAAAAGTTACTTCTTATGGAGATGAAAAGGTTTAGAGCTTTTATCTACGTTTAGCAATAATAATCGCCGCCTTAGGTTAGCATCTCACGAGGATCATTAAAGGAGAGGTGTGACAGTAAATAGATTAAAATTGTTGGGGAGAGAGAAGAGGTCTTTTCAAATCGCTTAAGTTTGCACGTTTCAGATTGTTAAATGTCAAATTTTTTCAGCTTTATACAAAACTGCTGACCTTCGTCACTATGCACAAGTGCGTATGACCGTAAAGTTCATAACAGCAGTTTAGTCCGTCATTCGAACTGACGCAGATCGTCACATGTCATGATTTGCAATGAAAGACTTGAAACAAATTGGACTCAACCTTTGGAAGTGCTGGGAAAATCGATAAACTCGTATGTAAATTATCCGAAGATTAGATGACAACAATTCTTAGGCGTCATTTTGGAAAATCAATAATTGGATCTTTATGTTTACATGTATGATATTGCTTGATGTGTCACCAGAGGCGAGTCTTCAAACAGTTCAAGAAATTTGACACTCACTTATTTGTTTTCAAATAGTTTTTAATGGTCTAAAGGTTGGACAGATATATCCGATCTTCATGTTTACTGTCAACACATTTTGTATATACTTTTTGGAGTTGAGTGTGAGATGTTTGAGAAAAGAATCTGAAAAACAAATGCTACATTTTTCGAGGATTTAAATTTAATTCCACATATCGGATTAAAAACACAGCGAGTGAATTGGATGCATCTCCGCTTTGAATAGTATTTCATAGCTTGTCAGCTGTATGGAAGATGAAAGAGTTTAGTAATGCAGGCCCTGAGTTTTATGATAACGGAATTTTCACAGAAATCCAATAAGACCAAGAATACTCTATCCTGATAACCGCCATATAGCTGGAATATTGTTGAGTGCGGCGTAAAAGTAAACTCACTCACTCACTCTCCTGATAAACATCTGGGTTTAGCTGTAGGTGAAGAGTGGTTGTGTACATTTGTAGCCTGGTGGTTAAAGCATTTGCTCTTTACGCCGAAGACCGGGGTTCGAATCCCCACATGAGTACAATGCGTGAATCCCATTTACGGTGTCCCTTTCCGAATATTGATGGAATACTCACTCACTCATGCCCTAGTGCTGCTGGCCAGTGGTAGAACCAGGAACATACTTCCAGGTGTGCATGTGTGATGTTCATCTGGCGGGTGGTACTGGATTAGTACAACAGGTGTGTCAGTTCAAGAAACACCAGGTGTCCGTCATTACATTGATTTAAACTGAAGTTAAGTTGGTGCCACATCCATAGCTGATTTACCTGTGAAGATCCGGGTTAGAATTGATCTTCAGTAACCCATGCTTATCGTAAGAGGTGACTAACGGGATCGTTTTTCAGGCTCGCTGTCTTTGTTGACTCATTTCATTGCATCCCAATTTTGTAGATCGATGCTCATGCTGTTGATCACTGGATTGTCTGGTCCAGACTCGGTTATTTACAGACCGCCGCCATTTAGCTGGAATATTGCTGAGTGCGGCGTTAAACAAGAATCAAACCAAACCAAACCATTGCTGATTGGAGTGAGTATAGTGATGAGTATACTGTGTGATGAGTATACTGTGTGATGAGTATACTGTGTCATTATGTGTCCTACTGATAGAGGAGCGATAACCAACTCGGTCAACATTCGCAGCAGGCGCCATTCTCTGTCATGCTGTGTCACATTGCGAGTTCCTGGAGTCAGTGCCCGTACCAATTGTCTGTGATCCTGGATTGTTAACCAGGTTTAATGGTGAAAGTGTAACGCCAAGTCTGTGTTTCAAATTTGCAACTCTATCACATAAGTTTGACTATCACGTTGCAGACATTGCCTCAGTCTTGAGCATATGGATAATCATTTACATACAGCTTCTTTTAAGTGAATGGTGACACAGCTGGTCCCTACCTCTCTGTATAACTAATGGAATACAGTCTGGATTAGATCATACATACAACCACTCTACCTCTAACCAGTCGGGGGTTGCATAGTGGTTGAGGTATTTGATCGTCACGCCAAATGACCGGATTCGACTCCCACAATGTTGGACGTGAACACAATGTTGGACGTCAG